CCAGCCAGGTATGCAGGGTACAGGGCACAGGAATGCCAAGGTGGAAACTGGAGCCCCACCAGAGCCACCAGCAGGCAACAAAAGGGCCTTTCAGAGGGGCATCTGATGCCCTGCTACGTGCAGAGGTGCCAGGGGCTCACGTTATCCTGCCTTAGAAATTGCTCACTGGCACATTTCCCTGCTTTTTTCCTGCTCAAAGGTGCTCATATGCTAAAGCACGTATGCTAAAATCACCACCAGAGGCCTGGACATGTTCCTGGATTCCTCCAAAACTTCCCAAAAGTGAGCCAAAGCACTGCTCCAAGTGATTCCTGGATACCCACAGCTGGATGGCTCATCCTGAAAGAGGTAAAGGCTGTCCCTGGGAGTCAGGTCAGTAGAGACACCAGACTGCACATTTACATGTAATATTATTATATTATAAAGCCATGGAGTGATAGGGCAAGGTGAAATGGGGTCAAACTGGCAGAGTGTAGATCTAGATTAGATATGAGGAAGAAATTCTTCCCTGTGAGGGTGGTGAGGCCCTGGCAAAGGTTGCTCAGAGAAGCTGTGGCTGCCCCATCCTTAGAAATGTTCAAGGCCAGGCTGGATGGGGTTTAGAGCAAGCTGGGGTAGTGGAGGTGTCCCTGCCCATGGCAGGCTGGGATGAGATGGTCTCCAAGGTCTCCTCCTATCCAAACTATTCTGTAATTTGATGATTAATAGAGTTAACAGCTAATTAACACCAGAAATATAATATAGATATAAATGCAATGTATAATGGAACATGGCAGGGCCCCAGCTTTGCCCCCAGGATGAAAGCCCATCCCAGCTCCATGATGGGTTCCCTCAGATCCCATTCCCAGCCCACACACACTGGTCTATACTTTTCTCTCTCTTCCTCATGCCTTCCCTTCTGCACCCCAATTTAGAGTCCCTGCCGGGCTGCAGGCTGGGAACCTGCCAGGCAGGTGGGAAAAAAGAGGAAAACCAACCACTTGGGAGGCATTTCCACACGCTCCTGGTGGGAGGGTGCGACCTGCCAGCATCTCCTGGCGGGGTGAGGATCCGGTGTCCCCGGGGCTGCCGGGACCTGGCGGTTCCGGTCCAACCAGTCCAACCACCGTGCCAGGTCACCGTCTGCCGCTTCAAGCACACGCACGTCTGCACCTGGAAAACACTGTAAATAAAGCTGCTGTGCTGACAGTAATAACAGTAAATAACCTGCTGCTTCCTCCTGCAGCTGCTCCAGGGGCTGCTGCGTCCCATGGGTGAAGCTCTGGCTTGGGCAGGACTTGGGAATTGGAGACCCAGGGCTTGAGGATGAGGCTGGAAGAGAAGAGCTATGGTGGTGTTGTGCAGCTTAAAAGATTAAAATTAAAATTTAAAAGAGCTGAGCAGAGATTTATGTAGCTTTTCAAAATTAGGAGCAGTTGGTGAGGGCTGGTGAAAATGCTGGGAAATCAATCACTAGCAGTGATAAAACACCAAGGAAGCCTTACCTGGATATGAGGCCTTAGCGCAGCTCCAGAGTCCCGGTTGGATGGAGCGGAGCTGCTCGCTCTGTGCTCTGCCGGTGCTCGTGGCTGTGTCGGGTCAGGGTGAGGTAAGGACAGGGGCTGAAGTGGGGACAGCTGCAGGGACAGTGGCAGAGCAGGATGTCCCAAAGGATGTTTGCAGTGAGGGATTCTGTCAGGCACTGCTGCATCCCCTGGGCTGCGCAGGTGAGGACTCAAAGCAGCACCAGCGGAAAACTCCAGGGAAAACACTGAAAATAGGGGAATTAATGACAGGCACATTCCCAAATTTTCTGCAGTCCTGAGCAATAAACCAGAGGCCTCAGCAGCAGCCCTTGACAGCAGCTTTTGGGGAGATAGTAGCATCACCCACACGCTGTGACTGACCCCGTGCCAAACCTCACCAACCTCCTGATGATTTATTCAGCTGTTTGGGGTACATCGGTTTAGCTCTTTATCACCACAAATCCAGCCTGGGGAGATCACCAGCTAAAGCAATGGGGTGAGTCAGTGTAGAGGCAGGAAATGTCCCAGACTCACGCCTGTTTCCCTGCTGTGACCTCTCAAGCCCATTCCTGATGCTCAGGTTAGCAGTGCAAGGCTGTGGCACGGCAGGTGAACCCAGCCTCTGTTGCAATGGCACGCAGAGATGATGCCAGGAGCGGCACAGCTGGGCTGCACACCAGGACAGGGTGCTGGGGACACGGGGTGTCCCCTCTGCGGGGTACCCCGGCCATCCCACACAACACCCCGACGCGGTGTTGGTGTATTCGCCTCTCTCAGTCTACCCGGGAAAAGGCTCTGGTGAGAGACTGCACAACAACGTGAGCGGTGCAAAGTGCACCAGGGAGGGCGAGTCACACCTAAAACAAACACAGCCGGGCCACGGGAACTCGGGGACTGCTCACACGGTGGCAGCAGTGCAGCACGGTGCTGCAGCAACCAGCACAGCAGGGATGCAGCAGGGATGAGGCTGATGTGAGGGGGATGCAGCAGGGATGAGGCTGATGTGAGGGGGATGCAGCAGGGATGAGGCTGATGTGAGGGGGATGCAGCAGGGATGCAGCAGCAGGGATGCAGCAGGGATGCAGCAGGGTTGCAGCAGCAGGGATGCAGCAGCAGGGATGCAGCAGGGATGAGGCTGATGTGAGGGGGATGCAGCAGGGATGCAGCAGCAGGGATGCAGCAGCAGGGATGCAGCAGGGATGAGGCTGATGTGAGGGGGATGCAGCAGGGATGTAGCAGGGTTGCAGCAGCAGGGATGCAGCAGCAGGGATGAGGCTCCTGTATGACCTGTATGACAGCTCCCAGTTCCACTGCCAGGGAAGAGCAGGCTGGGGGGACAAAGGCGCCCAGAAGAGCCCCCCTGAGGCCAGGACACCACGGGCACAGCGAGTGTGGCTGCTCTGCTTGCTGTGGCTCTGCAGGTGACCCCTGTGTCACCCACACAGGCTCTGGCACGGTCCCCACAGCGCAGGGGCAGGAGCCCTGCCAGGACAGCTGTGGCACTCTGACCTGTTCCTGCCTCCCAAAACTTTTAAAACCACAGATGGGATGGATGAGCACCTGCACCCAATCCCATGCACAAAGGACAGCATCAAACCTCAGGGAATTGCTCCAAGAGCAGCAAATCCCACCATGGTCTGTGCCCAGCTCATGTTTGCTGTGCTCAGCAGCTGCCCTTTAATGCCACCTGTAGTTCCCATCAATGCTGGATTCCAGCTGCAGGTGATAGAGTTGGAGAGCCAGCTGGCTTCTCCTGAGTTTTTCCAATTTTTCTCTGCTCCAGTTCTCCCCATTTCAGATTATGGTGGCTCTTACCTGCTCTGCAGCTGCTCCCAAACCCAGGAGGCTGTTGGAAAAAAAAGAAGAAAAGGTACATCTCTTGATCTGTACCCTGATTATGGGCTTAAAACTCATTGCAGGTTGCCTTTGCTCCAGCCTGCAAAACAGCCAGACCCCAAAACAGCATCAGGCCCCACTGGAAGTGCTGGCACAGCCCTACAGGTGACCAATGTAATCTGAATAATAGTAATGATAATGATAATGATAATTAATCAACATGTACATTGATAACACTAATTTATCCAGTTGGAGTACAACATTTTCTGATTTCTCCATCCTTTCTGCTGTTTTTGGTTCTCATTATATTTTCCATATCTGAGCAGGACATTTCCTGATGTCCTTACTTACCTTAAACCCTTAAAATCCCCACTTCATGCAGATGCAGACAGTCCCAGCCTCCTCCTGAATCCTCCCAACAACCCAGAGCCCCCGAAAATCACGTGGTGCTCTGGGTGTCCTGCAGCCTGTGCCACGACAGAGATGCCAACACCCATCCAGGCTCTCCAATTAAACCACATGGAGTTCATCCATACTTTAAAATAAGCTTTATTTAGATCTTTTATAATTTTATATTTGCATCCATGCCTTCAAGAATTCTCCCCCGCTCACAGGGGGAAAAGTTAAATCTAATGTTACCCATAATTCATATGCTATTTAGCAAAGTTCTCTTTTAAATAAATCATCCTCTTAGTAATTTTTAGAATTACTTCCTAATTTACAAAAAAGCTGAAATGCAAAGGAAATTACTCGATAACAAGGAGATCGCTCATCTGTTCTGGTGGTTTAGAGTTTAAATTATAAAAACGCAAGGAGACCAAAAAAAAAAAAAAACCAAAACAAAAACCAAACTAAAACAAACCCCCCAAAACCAACAAAAATGTATAAAAAATGCTTCTCTGCAGAGAAAAGATGCCATGGGGCAAAGCCTGCCCTGCCACCCCAGGAGAGCCCAGGGGGGGCTGCTCCCTCTGTCACCCCCTCCATGGCCTCTCTGCATCATCCCTTGGAATGGATACACAGCGCGAGGGCATCCGTTTAGTTCGGTGATTTAAGACAAAATACCCTTTTTCTGTTCAACCAGGGCGCACATATCGCAATTAAGAAAAATAATACACTATTATAGTTCATTAAATAAATCTTAATACATTTTTTTTTTTTTTTTTTAAGAGCTTAAAATTATATTGTAAGCATTAAAGCATAAGGTACTTATCTTGGCATAAGCAGAGCGCGGCACGTGTTAGTGGGGAGGGGAAGAGGCCGCCGCGCCGGGGGGGTGGATTGGGGGCATTTCCGAGGGATTTGGAAAAACAAGCTCCACCTGTGCTTCCAAATCACCCCAGAGCCAGAAAAACCTCCCTAGTGGGGACTCGTACCGATTTCCCCAGCCCCCTCTGACGGCAGTGACACCCCACACTGGAGTGGGGTGGCCGGCCCTACTGGGCAGTGTCTTGGGATAGGGGATATCTCGGGATATCACCTTTCCCCTGCTCCCAGCTCGTGCCGGATCCCCCTAAATTTTACTTGAAGCAAAGGGTGAGCCCCCCCAAAAAGCAGGGAAGAACAGTGGGCAAAGCTTCCACTTGCTTGCCCCTGTCTGATTTCCCGGCACGTGTTCAGGTTTGCGTTTTCCAAGGCGTTAAGTGCTCCTGGGGCAGCTGAGGGAGCCCGGGCTGGGGGGTCCACAGCCCCAATCCCCCCCAACAGCAACTTCCCAGGACAGTACAGTACAAACACCCCCTTCCTCCTCCCCGCCCCATCCCAACCGACGTGGAAAAATATAAAAATCCCAAAACTTCTGCAATAATTTAGTTAGAATAGCTCCTCTGGGTTTGTGCAAATAAATTAAAACAACTAAAAAGGAACGTTAAAACACTTATTTCCAGACCGGCAGGCGTAACAACCAGCCCGGGTCGCCTCCGCGGGGCTCGGCCAGGAAGACATCACAGCGAAGGAGATTTTCTTGTTGTTGTTTTTGTGTGTTTTCTCTCTAAGATCCCTCAGCTGGGCAGGTCCTTTGTCCCCAAGAGAGGACATCCCGCGGGCTGGGCTCCGGAAAACAGCGGGTTTCGGACAAGAGACGTCACAAGCACAAAGTGCACAATATTTCTCATATTTACAGAGACACAGCAGTCCTTCAAGTTTCAAGTTTTGTCAAAAGAACAAGAAAAAAGAACAAAAAAACCCCTCCCAAAACAAGAAAAAAAAAACCCAGCCCAAACTGACAAACTGAAGCGACAACAAAGGAGTTACCGGGATAGAAAAAAACCAAAAAAAAAAACCAAACTGGGGAAAAAAGAGGAAAAAAACTGAAGTTACGACACGGCTGCATCGCTCCCAAGACAACAGGTAACACGTCCACAGGTGGGACGGGGTGTGGGATATGGAATATGGGATATGTACATGTGCAGGGCTGGGAGAGGCTCTGGCGCCGTCACCAGTCCGCGTCCTCCTCGATGTAATAGTCGGGGGCCGTCCCGTCGAAGAGACCGGGATCGAGGGACTTGCGCTGCTTCCCCCGTGCAAACACCCTGGAGATGGAGCCAAAGCCCATCTTCTCTTTCTTCTTTTTCCGTTTTTGGTCTTCCAGGTCTTCTAGAGACTGTGAAAGGAGAAGACAAAAGTTTGGGCATCCAGCTTTTCCTTTATCGCTTTTCGCGTTCGCTCACAGCAAGGATGATGGACCATGTGGTCCCAGTCCCAAAACATTTGAGTCCAGGTCTCAAAAACATTTGCATCCAGATCCCACAAAATATTTTCATCCAGATCCAAAATAGTGTTAAGATCCTGGACCAAAATACAGTAATATTCCTGGAGCCTGTGTGCTGGAATTTGCAGTTAAACTGGGCCCTCTCTCCACAGTTATGGGATTTTGGCCTCTTTAATTCAACTGGATCAGGACTCCAGCTCTAGGAATAGTCAGAGCATCTGTCTGGATTGCAAAATATCCCAGTGTTTTAGGGCCAAATACAGGAGAGTAACATGCTTTGGCTGGACCTTATAAAAACCAACACTGCGATCTGCCTGAGCTCAGTGAATGCCTTCGGCATTACCTGGACTTTGTGGCAAATTATGGGAATATGAGACATCCCAGACTTACAATTCAGGATGACTTCCATTCATCCCAAATTGGTGCCTCTGATCCACCACCCCCAAGTACTTTCTAGCACAGGAAGGGGTCTCACAAGCAGCATTTGAGAGGATTTGTGCCCTACCTGTACAATTGGATTGTGCAAGTTCTTCTGTACCGGTCCAGGACTGTCCCCCTATGGCACAAGGAGATGGAGTCATTGAATCAACCCTAACACAGCCCAAGACCCTCCACCCCCAGGGCAAAAGGCAGCTGAAGTTCACTGGGGCTGGGATAAAGCCCAGGGCAGCAGCTTTCCAGGTCAGCCAAGCCCCAGTGTGCTCCCCACTCCAAACCTGACTCTGTTTTGGGCAACAGAGGCCCCACAGAATCCCCAGAGCCCATCTCCCCAGAGGAGCAGGGCACCACAGCAGGCAGGCCTTACATTGCAGAGCGAGTGCGTTCGATGCCGGGGCGAGTTGATGTCACTCGGTGTGGACGAGCGGTCGCCCTCGGCCGCGGAGGCGTCGGAGATGATGGACGGCTGCCGGGAATGACAGGGGCTCACTCTGACCGCTGGAAGGCAGCGGGGAAAACAGGGAATTAACACCAGCAAAGCCTCTGAGGCACTTCCAAAAACACCTCTGGGGAGGAGCAGTTCTGACCATCTCCGTTCCTCCCCAGAAGGGGTTTGGCCCTGAGAACTCGCCCATGTCCCGATGCACGGGGTGCCCACCTTGCCGGTCCGCAGAGTGCTGGGGGTGGGAGTGGTAGAGGGTCTGCTGGCTCTGCCGGATGGCGGCGGTCAGCGGGAGGTCAGCCTGCATCACCCACTCCTGGTTGCCGTTCAGCACCGTCTCGCCCGGCATGGCCAGGGAATGGCGCTTGGGAACGTCCTTGGTCAGCGTAGCCAGGGACTGCTTGGCCTGGGGAAAGTCATGGAGGTGGTGGTGATGGAGTGGGAAAACCGTATGAACATTTCCTGGAGCAGCAGAACAAGCAGCAATGTGCTGCACACCAAACCCACCCTCCCCTGGGCAAGCAAAGATCCCAACTGTGCCGCTCGCCGTGCCAGGGATATCAAGTTATTTTTGAGTGATGCTCCCTGTGCCAAGGATCTCAAGCTCGTTTGGAGAGATGGAATATTTTCCTCCCAGAATTGCAGTAGTGCAGCAAACACACAGATCTATATTAATTATCCAGCTCACCATGGCCAGCTCGGCCTCCAGCTCCTTCATGCGGTTGTCCTTCAGGTCGAGCTGGGAGCGGAGGGCGCTGGCGTGGTCCGTGGCTTCCTTGGCCTGCCGCCGCAGCTCCCACTTCTCCCGCTCCAGGAGGTCCTTCTCCTTGGCGAGGGCTTTCACCGCGTCCTCGCTCTCCTGCCGGGACAGGGGGTGGCCATCAGGAAGGGAAAATCCATGTGCTACCAAAAACCCCTCTGTCACAACCCCCCTGGGGACCACACAACCACGAGCAGCATCTGCAGGTGTCACAGGAGCCCTGTGCTGGCAGGGATGTCGACCCTTTTTGGGGAGATCCGGAATGCAGCCGGTCCCCAAAAAGAAATGCTCACTGTACACCTGGTTAAAATTGCACCAAATTCTCCAGGTCTGGCTCTATTTCCTCCAGCGTTTATTTAACCTTAACCTGCTGCGGCCCACCCCAACTCCATCAAGAGTCCAGCTGGGGCTTTAGTGGGATTTTGCCAGATGACAAACCAGGTTTCACACTCAACCTGCTGCCAGCCCTCTGTGCCATGAGACCCTGGTGCTGGGCCCTGCACTCACTTTCCTGTGCTGTTCGTAGTTGCGGATGAAGTCCCGGAGCTGCTCCTCTCGGCTCTCCAGCGTGGCGTACAGCTGCTGCATCTGGCTCACCAGGTCTGTCTTCTCCCCCTTCAAGCGCTTGCGGTCGGCTTTCATGGCTGTGGGAGAGAGGATGACTCCAGCATAGGAGGCATGACAGCCCTTGACTTCATCTCTTTTGTTTTTCAAGGAAAAAGCACCAAAATGACAATCCTAGGGGCTGGGATGGGAGAAGGTTCCCAATTCACCTCCCTCGCTGCACCCCTCAAGATGCCCATCACATCACCACTGTGGCTCCTCACCACTGCCCATCCTCCAAGGGGCAGCTCAGACCCTGGAAAAGGAGGTTTGGGAGTAAAACTGCAGCCTCAGCCTCGGGGCCTGGTGCAGGAAAAACCTGCTGTTCCCTTTCCAGGATAAATAAACCACAAACTGGTTTATTTTTAGCAGGATTCCGGAGCGCTCCCACGAGCCCAGGGCACGGCTCCCCGAGTGTCCCCTTCCAGCTCAGTGCTGCTGTGTCAGGATAAGGGGATGGAGCAGAGGCATGTGGGATGTGATGGGTGTTTCAACAGCCCTGAGAGGAACCCAAAACCTTCATGTTTTCCCTCCTCATTGCACCAGTGAGGGATGTTCACTGACCACTGAGCCTGGGACAGCTCTGGAAGGCTGTCAATCCAGGGAGAATTACAGAAATCTCATGTAGGAGAAGGAGTTTTGGTCACTTCTGAACATCAATGCTTTACCCAGTACTGAACCTGGTCCTTGGCAGTGCTGCAGCAGTGCCCTGTGGCTCCCTGCTCCAGACACACCCCACCCCACCAAAATAATACCCAGTTTAGGAATCAGATCACAAATATTTCATTATATATTCCTGCTTTTCCACCCTGAGCCAGTGCTGCTAGCTCAGGGATGCCATGAAACACCCTCTGCCCCTGCACTCATCGTATTGAATCACTGAGTCTGGCAAATTGTTGTTTGTATTATTAAACAAGTCCTGGATGCCCCCAAAACTGTCCAGAAAAGAACAACCCCAAAGCCACCAGGGACCACTACAGAAGCTGCCAGAAGATGATGCAGCATCTGAGAGCTGTCCCCATGCACACATCCAACCTTTCTCCATCAGATCACAGAGATCACAGTGACTGTTTCAGCCCACGCTGTGTTTTCTACTCCCTGTAATGAGTCACTTCATCTGGGGGCTTAAACTGCACCTAAGGTACATTTGGGCTCCTCTCAACACCTGGGGATAATAAAGGCAATGTAAGAAATACAAGGAAACCACTCTGAAAGGGGAATTAATTTCCTTCTCGCACCTTTGGCACCCTTGGCTTTGAGCCTTTGCTTCACCCAGCACAGGGGAGCTCTGCTGGGAACCCTCAAAAGGCATTTCCACCTTCCAGTCTCCCACCAAGCAGGGAGAGCATCATTATTTGCTGTGCAGCGAAGCCCCAGGCACCCTCAGGCAGAGTAAGCTGACAGCAGGGATCACCCAGCCCTGCACAAGTGCTGGAATACACCCCAAAATCAGCTCCCCCAATCCCACACCCTGTGCAGCTCCCACATCCCACCCCAGCTTGTCACAACCACAGACTTGAGAAGAGGTTTACTCAGGTATGAACTTCTGTGCACAGGTTTTACTCTACTTTTTTGACTGTTTCTCCCTCTTAGTGTGTGCTGGGAAGATGAACAATAAGTCAAGTGCTTGGAATGGAGCTGTAAGGAAAGGAGGGGGTTTGCAGGTGAGAGGAGAAAAAGATGGGGAAAAATTAGACTAAATAGTGGAGGAAGAAGGAGATGTGCTTCAGACTATAGAGATTTTTCTCTGTTAAAATCCAAGAGATGAAACTCTTTGGACCAACTATTCTGCCATTAAGCACTGGAGATAAATCAGAACACCAAAACCACAAAATGAGGTAGGAAATGCTGCAAAAATTCACATTGTCCTGTGACAAGGAGCTCTTGGGAGTCTTCCTTGCCCATTTCCATGAACATGACTCCTCCTGGGACAACTCAGCCTCTTCTGACACCAGGACTTCCCTTGCTTTTTTCCCATCTTAGGAAATTACTACAGAAACCCTCTAAAAACAATCACAACCACGCCCATGTCTTTGAAAAAGCCCTTTGCCACTGCCTGTGTGTACTTAACCACCACCTTCCCCTGCCCAATTCTTTCACAGGAACTAAAAACTTGCTAAAAAAGAAAAATTCATGGTAAGTTGACCAAACCACACTGGGGTGAGATCCAGACCTCACAGACACATATATTTATATATATGTAAAATTTAATTTCCTCAAGGATACTGGAAGGCTCTTATAAAAGTTTAAGTCACATTTGCCAATCTCTGATGCTGGAGGCGACAAAAGAATCCTAATGAATTTAATTAAATAATGAGTCCCCTATAGCATACAAACTCCTTTAATTAGTGGCAGTGCTTGTGGCCCTTAAAGATTTACAGAAAACACTTAATCACTTGCCAATAAAAAAACTGAAAATGCTGTGAAGTACTATTAGAAGAAGGGCAACTATCTCCCAAAGTTGAATATGTATTGATGTAGTTACCAATATTCATGCCAGTGTATCAGTATTACAAGAAGATTATGAGGTTTGGGTATTGAAAGAGCAGATATTTTTCCTATTAACCCAACAGGACAATTTACCATTTGTTGCATTTCATATTTGAGAGATTTGCTGAAATTAACAGACTTTTTCTGCTCCCCTCTATTGCTCTCCTTCCTCCAAGAACGATTAGCTCCTAAGCTTAAAGAAGATTTATCAGTCATTTGAGAACTTCATTCTGAACCAAATTAATAGGAAATTAATTGAAAAAAGGCAGGAGGAAAATAAAAAGTGAGGCAGAAGTGAGCTGTGAGGGCTGCCAGCAGCTCCTGGACCGAGCCCCACTTGCTGCAGCAGCTTAATTCGTCCTTAGCAAACAAGCCCAGCTAATTACTCGGTCGGGGAAAACGAGCCTTGCAGTCCATGGCCAGCCAAGGAGGGATAAAGCAGATTTTCCCTGGCTATCAGGGCCATCTGAGGAGGTGAAATGGCTTTTTCCTTTAATCTGATGATCCAGGGCCTGGTTTCTGTATCCCAAACCCCCACAAGTATCCAAATAAACTCCCCCAGCCCATCGGCACAGTGGGCTCGAGCCAAACCTCTGACCTCTTCATAAACCCAAGAAAAGAAGGAAGAAATCCTAAACCCAGACCATGAGTGGAAACTACTTCTCCTACTTGCATTATTAATTTTGCCCTCCCCCCAAAGCACAGAAGGAAAGGGGGGACCCAGCAGCCCCCCTTGGCAGCTCAGCAAGGGATGGGGGAGATGGGTTGGGATGAGCTGGGTGAGCCCCCCCAGCTCTCCCCACCACCCCCACCTGCACCAGGTCACCCTTCCCTCCTGTTATTTGAGCTTCCACCTCCTGCCACTCGATCCTCCCCTCGGTCCTTTGGGAGAGGAATGATGGACACAGGGATGGAACGGGACCGGCTCGGCAGCGGGCTCCTGCTGCAGCCAAAACAATTAAAAATCACCCCCTCAGCGCCTTTTATTCCCAGCTCTGTGTGAGGAGCCAAAATCCAGTTGTTCCCCTGGAGAGGCACAGCCCAGTCTGGGGCAGCAGCAGGGCTGGAACCACCCAGAGATGCCACCACTGGAAGTGCCACCACCCTGTGGCCCCAGGCTGATCTCACCATCCAGCAGCTTCCAGCTAGGAATTAGCTCCTGTATCCTAAACCCAGGCACCTCCCCCAGGATGGAAGCTGCTCTAAATACTGCCTTCCCTCTTTGAAATTAACAGGATCAGATTAAGGGGATATCAGTTACAGAACATCCTGATGTGGAAGGGACCCACAAGAAGGATCAGTGACATCCCACCCCTGGCCCTATGAGGTGCAGGCCCCACCACCCAGCCGAGGTTCCCCTGGACGACATGTGAGTAATAATTAGTTTGACTACCTTCATAATGGGATATTAGATGAAGAAGGACTGTTTGAACCATAGAAGCAGCATCTCTGCCCAGTTTCACACTCCTGGGATGAGGCAGCAATGCCCAGACACATACCAGGGCACTGGCAGAAGATGCAGCACACCCCTGAACTCCAAAGACCATCTTCCTGTGACTCCCACCCACTTCCAAGTCCTTCTCTCACCCCACACAATGTGAATTTTCATGCCAGGAACAGAACCAGAGATGACTTTATCACTTACTGAATCACACACTTATTTTCCAATGCAGGGAAGGGCATCCTCGGGGAGCACGGCTGGAACCCCAGCGATGCCCCGTGCAAAAGGAATGTGCAAACCCATCCTGACCCATTAACATTCACTTAATTTCTCCTGTTTCTTCCTTGCAGCCATGAAATCCAATATTGTCACCATGACTAACCCATAAAATCAGGATTGTGGTGCTGCTCCTTGCTTTGCAATTAAAGAGGCACGTGCGGTCCCTGGGGCAGCTGTCACCATCAGGAGGATCCTGACGTTGAAAACATCAACGTTCTGTGGTGTCAGGCAGAGCCAGAACTCGCTCCTGGGTGTGTGGAGGTACAGAGCAGGCAGGAAATTACAGCCCAATGTCACATTTCAGGAAAAAGTTCGGTGAGGTAATTCTCCTTGGGGGAGTTTACCTGGTAACAGCCAAGAGCTTTCCAAACCTGAGCCAGCAGTCAACAAGGCGGTCAGTGACTTCTGAAAACTTCAGGTGGGTTTTCAAATGAGAACAACAGGTTTTCTGTAGAGATCCATGTCCTTATAGTGGAGATGGCTTTCTTGGCTGGGTCCATGGCTGGGACATCCGTCAGTCAGGACATCCATCCAGTGGGACACCCATCTTCTGGGACACCCCTCTGCCAGGTCACACATCCTTCTGGGACATCCTTCTGATGGAACCCCCATCTTCTGGGTCATCCATCCACTAGGACACCCATCCACGCATTTCTTTGCTACCCAGCCCTCACTGCAGCAAGTTGAGGGTGCTGTGGATCTCTGTAGGAGGCTTTCCCCAGCCCAAATACCATTCCTGGGCAGTCACAGCTTTGAGATGAAGGTGAGGGAGGGAGAAAACCAGGCTACAACCCTGTTGTGGAGCAGACATGAAGTTGGTTCATGCCTTTCCAAGCAGCAGGGAAAGCCAGCCTGAGGTTTCCACCCTGACACTCAAAAAGGAAACAGAAACCAGGTTTGCTCTCTGTGTGATAATCCCGCAGGCAAGCTCCAGCATATTGGATAAACCTTCCCAGAAATGGGGTTTCTGCCATTAGCCCACATGCTCATGGATGTCACCCAGCCAAGAGGCTCCTCAAGTCCCCCAGGCGCTTGGGCACGATCCCTGCCCGCAGCAGGACCAGCAGTAATAAAGCTGTCTGCAACTTCTCCCATCAGGGATTTCCACACCAGAAATCCAGACCACATCCACACCTTTCCAGCCAGGATGGGGGAAATAACAACTAATTCAGAGTCCCAGCTGTGGCAGAAGTGGAGAGGGCAGTGGGATGTAGCACTATGGGAGTTCAGTTAATGTTAATGGATTTAAGAAAGTTCAAGAGATGGAATTAGCTCAGGAAAAAGCAGAATAAGGATGCACAAAGCACATGCTGACAGAAATAAAGAAACTGGTCAAGTTGCTCTTGCAGAGCACCCTGTGCTGGGTCAGATCACTGCTCCTACCCTCCACAGCAAGGACCTGTTAGCACAGCACAGGGAAGATGCAGCACAGGCTTATCCTGTGCCAAATGCTGTTGGGAAGGGCTGGAAATGCATCTCCAAAGGGTGACAATGAACCCACCCTCCATGGAGACCATCACTAACCAAACCCTGTGTGGTTGTGCAAAATAAAGGCTCTTAAAAACTGCTGGAGCCCCCAGGAGCAAACCCTCTCAGCAAATCCTCTCTGCTTCCCTCTGCAGCGTGGCCTGGTGAGCCAAGATCCGTCTGAACCAGCTGTGCTGCACTTCCAGGCTCAGAGCCAGCAGTGATGACAGATTTCCATATAATTTATCCACTAATGACATTCCACAGGACCCACCATGGACCGTGGGCTGCTGCAGGGATGCTGCAGCCGATGCTGCTGGATGTGGGGCAGCCTTTGGTGAGGATGTGGGACGGGGGATGCAGGAATGCAGGCTGTGAGGAGGAGCTGCTCTGGCTGCAGGACACAACTGACACAGATCCCTAAAGTGCAGAACAGCGTGGCCAAGTTCCCCTGTGCTCCTGGCATGGCCTTATCCTTCAGTTCTTTCCTACAGAGCCATGACTCTCCTCCTGTGTCCATCAGCAGATCCATCTCCCCTGGCAGAACCAGTCACCAGACACCGTTTTTCCTCCATTTTTGGCTACATTTCTCTCTGGACAATTTTTCACAGAAAGGAAAAAGGATTTTTTTCCCCTCCAGCTGCTGATCTCGTTTTCAAGTTATCCATCTCAGTCACTGTTGCCAAGCCTGCTCTGAGGCCCAGAGCCTCCAGCCCAGATCCAGCCTGGACAACTTTCCCAAAAACCACAAAAGCTTCTCAATATTGCAGGACAGGGAAGGAGCATCAATTGAGAAAAGCTTCTTGCTATGTGTCCATCCAAGTGCCAACTGAGATTCTCTCTTCCTAGCCACCACACCTACAGAGAAATCCTCGAAAACCAAGCTCAGAGGCTTGAATATTGGCAAATAAAAGCCCAATAAAACCCAAACATTATATTCCTAAAAATATTCATAATTTTCAAGCCAAACTCACTTTTTCTCTGGACTATCCTCCACAGAAACATACACAACCTCATTGCAGCTTCTGAGATGACTTCTTTCTCTTATTTTTTTTTTTGTAACTAGTATTATAACAGTTCTGCATTTCAGCATTTTGCATTTATCAGCACTTCCCCACCGCCCCATCCACATGGAGCAAATATTCCCTAATTACAGTTTTTCTCCTCCAATTACAGTTCTATAAACCCAGAGCATTTCCCGCTGCCTGAGGCTGCCCTGGTGGCGTGGGGGGAAGCAGGATTTTGGGGGTATTTTGGCTGTTGCTGATACATAGGGATGTCTTTGTCCATCAGAGAGCGATACCAAAATCTTCTGAAGTTCTTTCCCCAAACACTGACTCAACCCAATTCCCTGCACCTCCGAGCATCTCAGCATCCTGGACAGGGGGAGATGCAGAGGCCCCAGAGCTCCCCACGTGCCGCTCAGCCTGTGAGCCTGAAAACTTCTGACAGCTTCTCCTCATAATCCACAAACACGAGCTGACAAGTGCAAGCTACACTCGCTGTGCTGGGGATTTGAGATGATATTTAGAGCTGCAGCACTGCCAGGCTTTGACGAGTGAGAGCCTTCCCCGCTCAGGATCATCCCCCGGCTCCAGCTAACAAACCATCCTGCCTGGATTTATTGTCAGCGTGGTTTTAGAGTGGAAAAGCTGCAATGCTGTGTTTTGCTCAGCACACCCCAATCCTGGGTCTTGCTGTGCTGGTGAGGAAGGGACAGCACAGCCCTGACTGCCACAAAAATCTCCCAAAATCAGGCATGAAGGAAGGAGGAGACCCCCCCATGTCACCTGGAGGTAACTCCACGTGGGACAAGGAAAGTTGCAGTCACCGGGAAACTCGCAGCTTCCCTCTTACAAGTCCGAGGGGCTCAAATCCAACCCAAACGCCATCTCCAGCTGCATTTCAGCTGCTGCCTTGGCTCTACTCTACAGATGTGGAGGAATTCCACTGCAGTGCTGCAATCAGCCCTCACATCCCATTTCCCAGCCCATCGCTGCACCCCAGCCCCACACCACCCCTTGGAGGGGCAGGAGAGCAAGGGCATCCCAGGGACACCAAACCACGGAGCAGCAGGTGAAGGCACTCTGCAGAGTCCAAGTGGAAAGGATGGCTTCTCCTTCCCTCATTAATCAGCTTTTTGGAAGTTCTGGGTGTCGGGGAGAGGCGCAGCAGAGGGAGGCACAGCCCTTACCCTGCAGAGCCTCCTTGGCTCGCGCCAGCTCCTGCTCCTTCTGCGCCAGCTGCACCTTCAGCTCGGTGGCCGAGAGCACCTCTGGGGACTTGCTGCCGTGAGTCTCCTCCAGGTCCTTGGCCAGCATTTCCTTCATTTGCCGGAGCAGGTGGACCTCCTCCTGCAGCTGGGCCACCTCCTCCCGCAGCAGCGCTGGAGGAAGAAGAGACACAATGCGAGGAAGTGAGTGACGGCTCCCGGCACGGCCCCGCGTCCCGCTGCAAACTCAAACCCTGGGGAAACGCTGCTGGGGTGGCCCCTCCCTGCTGGCAAAACTGCTCTGCACAGCCCAAAACCTGCTAGCACTACCACTACCCCAGTCCCACCTCGCTGGGACTGCACCTCCTGGACCTGCACCAGCAGGATGGGTGTGATGGGAAGGCACCAGGAGGGAGGAGGGGAGCCTCCACTGCATGATGGCTTTTGCATTAAAAAATATAAAAATAGATGTTAATATGTAGTAAGAATAGCAAGAAGAAATCAAGACTTTCCTATCCAAACCACTCACTGACAGGGATGGGGTCCAACAGAGTCTTCTGAGCTCCCACACATCTCAGCTCTGCCTCCAGCCACCCACATGCTCAGGGCACACTCAATAAAACCACTGTGAGACTGGACAAGGGAAGATGGCACTTCCATCCACAGCCCCAAATCCTGAATTTCACAGATTTACACCCAGTGACTGCTCACTCCTCCAAGCAGGAGCATCATGGCAGAACCCGGATCCCCTCCACAGCAGGCACTGGAGGAAAGCTCCAGCACCTCGTTTCCTACAGCTGCACCCACTGTTTAGTGTAATAAAGTACTTTTCTGCTATTTCCACATTGCACCCATCACCCCCATCTTGCAACTGCACTTTTGGGCTGTGCAGGTACCGCTGCAATCCCCCCTCCGAGTCTGGCTTTGCTTTCCTTCCCCTTTAAAAACGGGGGAATAAAAACCCTTTCACATCCCAAACTGGCTTATTGATTCCATAGGAATTGGATTGGAAGGGACCTTAAAGACCATCCAGTCCCACCCCCTGACACAGGCAGGGATTTTTTCCACTAGACCAGACTGCTCTAAGTCCAACGTGGACTTGAACATTTCCAGGGATGGGACATCCACATCCTCTTGGGTTGGCATCGTGGACACGGGGAGAAAAAACGACCGCATCAGCACACACGTCACAGGCACCAGAAAAACGAAACAGAAATTAAACCAAACACCTCCTCCCCAAACCACAGTGGTTGTGTCCTTTCCCCAGCGTAGCAACTGGATGTGGAACACAGGGATTTTCCCCCTTATTCTTCCCTGGGTCCCTCTGCACGTGCTTGGGCCGTTTCCTTTCCGGCAGCGCTCACGGAGCGAGGCCGGGAGGTGACGCCGGCGGCAGGACAGGGAGAGGCAGCTCCCCCCAGCAGCTGCACCAGGAAGGCATAAAATCTGCTGCACATACTTGAAATGCTTCCCAAATGAAAACTGGCAAGGCCCCATTCTGTAAATTATTTAGCAATAAAGTCACTAATGAGGAACAGTCGAGCTCCGGGCTGGGGGATTTGGTGCGGCCCAAAGTGGTTTCTTGAAATCCGTGCAAAAAGCAAGAGCTGGAGGCGGCCAAGGCCAACAGGATCTTCCCCAGGGATGGGAGAAATGCAGCGTGTCCCCTCCAGCCTCTGGGAACCCTGAGAGGATGTGGAGGGCTCACACATGGTGGAGTATTTAGTGTGCAAAACCCACCCAGCGCCTTCCCCAGCCACAGAAAGCCCCCTGCAGCCCCACAAAATACCCCTGGCTGCAACAAATTGCTATTTTTTTTTCCCTTCTTATAACTCATTTTCACCTTTCCTTATATGCCACTTCACCAAGGGCTATTCCTGGGAAAAAAAAATTAACCTGCAGATGAGGATGCAGGCAGAGCAGCTTGCACATGGGTGATTTGTGCTGATGGATTCCTGCAAATTGCAGCATTTTGGTGGGAACCAAGAAAATCCCCACCCAGCAGGAAGTGATCTGGGAAAGGAAAGGGGAAACAAGACCAAGGACAGCCCAGGGGGGAATTCTGCAGCAAGGAATTCCAGAGAAGTCCTTGGGTATGGCCCAAGGTGCTGTAATGCACTTCCCAGTGCAGCTCTCCAAAAATGCACTGGTCCCCTCTGGTCATGGTTAGAAACACTGAAAAAACTGAAAATCATCTCTCCTCCAGAACAGGCAACAAAGGGATTTCATCCCCACTTAGGAGTCAGCTCCTGATCCAGGCAGAAACTGCTGAAGGATTAAAATCTGAGATCCATGAGAAACTACAGATGTAATCTGGAGAGAAGCATGCAGCACCATGCTCCCCACGCTGCCAGCTGCAAGCCAAAGCTATGGAGAACCTGAGCTATTGATCAGCCAGAAATCCAAAATTCTTGCTTTTTTAGACATATAATTTGAGATATATCTATATCTATATATACATATATATGTAGAAAAAAGATTATGCTTTGCAATTTATAGTTATATTTGCTACATATATATTATGTATGGCTAAGCTAAATCCGATTTAAATATATATATACACATATATCTATATGCAGAAAATTGGAAAGCACAATCCATGCAGCCAGGGTTTGATAGGAAAATCCCTCTTTCCAACTCCCTCTCAGGGCTCCTGCCAATGTCCTGGAATCACAAACTGGTTTGGGTTGGAAAGGAGCTTAAAGCTCATCTTGTTTCACCCCCTGCCATGGATAGGGACACCTTCCACTACCCCAGACTGCTCCAAGCCCTGTCCAAACTGGCCTTGGACACTTCCAGGGATCCAGGGGCAGCTACAGCTTCTCTGGGCATGTACCTGCAACGACACTCACTTGTGTACAGTATTTCCATCACTCCAATGCTTCCTCTGGTACTCTGCCCACCAAAATCACACCAGTTTTCCCCCTCAAAGCACCTTCCCCCCAGCACAGAGCATGTGCTCTCCATCACTCTCCCCCAAGCTTCCATCCCACCTTTCCAGCACCTCCTGCTCACAAGGGTCCTATGGAGAAACCCCATGTTATTGGCATAATTTGCATTAAGAGACTCAGCTTGAAAGGGAAATTTTAGCTTCATTTGAAAAGAGGGGGGAGAAAATCCCGTTGTTCTGCCAGGTTTAAGTACCCAAATAAATGACCCGAAATGAGCCGTTTGCAGGCAGCTCTCAGTGATTGCTACAGGAAAGTTCCAATAGCTGGGAAAATGGGGTCAATTATTCAGGAACCTCATTTCAGCCTCTCATTCTTTCACACACAGATGGCTGGGGGAGGATTTCCATGGGATTCCTATGAGCTGCATGGAGCTGTGCCTCTGCTTGAAGCTGCAAAGGAGTTTGAAGTGAGCATCAGCTCTCTCTAGCAGGGACCAGGGCTCAGTGCCCCTCACAAGGGACTCCACACACCCCCCCAACATGATGCAAAAGCAATCAGGAAAAGAAAATACTTTTTAAAGACTTTTTGTTTTGCAGTTCACCCTTGCAAGTGTCACCATCAGGGTGCAAAGTTAAATCTGCCATTAGGAATTGCCTTCTAAATGCAACAAGCTCAATGTAAAAAGCTTCCACAGCACTTTTGCCCCAATATTTTTGTCCCTTTTAAATTTTCTCTCCTTTTTTTTAACCTTTTTTTTTTGAGGGGGGGGAGAGGAATTGGATGCTTTCTGTAATTCCTGGCTACCCAAGAGGAGAAGGAGGTATTGCCTTGCATGGACAAGCCCCATCACTCATTCCAACCCCTTCCAAGTCTGCTGCAAGTGGGCAGAGATGAAATTAATGCAATTCAAACATTTCCCAGACCAACTGATGAAAACTACCATTCCCACTGAAATAATTGGCTGTTAATTATATTTTAGTTGATCACATTAAGCTTCCATGGCACTGCTGGATTCTGCATCCTTGATGCTTCAGCCACTGATGGGTGTTAACAACGCCAATGAGGTTTTCTTTTATTTAATTGTGGTGAACATCTCCAGATAACATTTGGGGCTGAAGTTTCCACTCCTGCTCCTGCAAATCCCATCTTGGACTCCTCTGGGCAGCAGATCAACCCTCCACGAAGCAGCAAAGCATTTTACTGGCCTTGGAACTGGCATCACTTTAAAGACATCCATTTAAAAGCCTTTTATTTTCCATGTAACTCAGCTGACACGATTGCTGTACATGCATTTCTGCCTTTGGAGGGGACATATTAAAAATGGATGCAGAACAAACGATGAGGCTCGTGTGGGTGAATCAGTATCTCAGGTGAAAGCTGCATTTTGTGCTGCTTTTGTGAATTTGACGGTGAGATGGTTTTTGCTTTGCTGGGCACAAGTCAAGGGTGTGTTTTAATCCAGAACATCAGCAGGATAAATGTACATGTACACACACCTCTGCCCTAGGATGAGGAATGAAAGGGTCATAAAGATCCTCATTAGAAAAAAATAAAGATTCAAGACTCAGGGATGAGCTGGGTTTGTATTTTAAAAAGTAACTCATCAGCTCTGATCTTTAAATAGCTTCTCAGCTTGGGACCTCCCTCTTGCAAAGGTGCAGAAGCCCCTGGAGAGGGACTTCTGACAAGGGTCATGAAGTGACAGCTCAAGGGGGAATGGCTTCCCACTGACAGAGGGCACAGTTGGATGGGACATTAAGAAGAAATCCTTCCCTGTGAGGGTGGTCAGGCCCTGGCACAGGGTGCTCAGAGCAGCTGTGGCTGCCTCTGGATCCCTGGAAGTGTTCAAGGCCAGGTTGGACGGGGCTTGGAGCAGCCTGGGATAGTGGGAGGTGTCCCTGCCATGGCAGGGGGTGGGACAAGATGGGCTTTAAGGTCCCTCCAACCCAAACCATTTGTAAGAGGACTCGGTTACTGCCACTGCCCAGGACTTGCTGGGGCAAAGCCATCACATCCAACCTCTCCCTCTGACACCTGGACACCATGATGGACTCACACTGGCTCAAAACGAGCCCCCTCTCCACCCCACAGCATCATCCCCTCAAGGGGATGAGTGCAAGGGCCTGACATCTGTAAATCACCCCTTCAGTCCTGTCCTGCTGTGCATCCCAGGCACATCCCTCAGTATCTCTGCAGCATCGTGGTGCACCATGACTTCAGAGGAGCTGTCCCACCCCATGCTCCCTCCTGGGTGGGTACTGGGGCTCTCAGCAGAGCCTCTTG